ATACAATATGAATGAAAAAATCAATTTATAAAGCCAAAACTGCTATAATTTCTCATCTATCAGTGTTGAAGTATGTTAGTTGGCAAATAACTGACTAGCTGACCGTGGATTTCCCTGCCACCGTGTGTGTGTGTGCTTGCTTATGTATGTAAATGTGTCTGTGTGTGTGTGTGTAAGTGTGTATGTGTAAGTGTGTGTGTGTGTGTCATTATTCAAAACATCCGGCTTCATATGGCATGTGTCTGGTATCTCTCCGTGTTATTTATTAAACAAAAGAAAAGGAAGATGATGGCGGTGCGAGTTGACAGGTGAATGTTGTATTACAGGACGAGTCGGCCAAGGGGGTGTACAGGGAGGTTGGGGCGCCCTTCAAGACGGACGACAGTGACCTGGTACCCACAGACCAGGCTGGTGTCTTCAAGGTACTTGCCGGGACACACGCCTTCATCAAGGTATACTAACTCGGCACGTAGGTTTAAGGTCTTCTTACAACCGGTCTAATGTAATCCAACCGAACCTTAACCAACCAAACTCAACCGTAGCCTAACTCAATTTAACCTTAACCAACCAAACTCAACCGTAGCCTAACTCAATTTAACCTTAACCAACCAAACTCAACCGTAGCCTAACTCAATTTAACCTTAACCAACCAAACTCAACCGTAGCCTAACTCAATTTAACCTTAACCAACCAAACTCAACCGTAGCCTAACTCAATTTAACCTTAACCAACCAAACTCAACCGTAGCCTAACTCAATTTAACCTTAACCAAACTCAGCGTAAACCAAGTCTATCCAACTTTAACTTAACCTAAGATATCCCAGTCTTCGTCAGTCTAGCCTACCTATAGCGTGGGCTAACCTAATGTGTATTAATCTAAGGAAACTTAATTTAACCCAGAAGGACATTGGGGTTGGATGGGGCTTCAGCTTGATGGTATTTTGTTTATCGATTATGTTGGTGGAATAGTTTTCTTAAGTCAAACTGCCAGGATTTACTCCAGTGATATTTGGTCTGTGCACAACCACCGTGAGCGTATTACATTAATTGGTCCATATTCAAAACCTTTCAACTATGAAACTTCGAGATAATGTAAGACCCTCAACCCTCCTCCCAGATAATGTAAGACCCTCAACCCTCCCTCCCCAGATAATGTAAGGCCTCAACCCCCTCCCCAGACAATGTAAGGCCCTCAACCCTCCCTCCCCAGATAATGTAAGACCCTCAACCCCTCCCTCCCCAGATAATGTAAGACCCTCAACCCTCCCTCCCCAGATAATGTAAGACCCTCAACCCTCCCTCCCCAGATAATGTAAGACCCTCAACCCTCCCTCCCCGACGCCTCATGATTAAATTAAAAGTTGATGATTATTAAAGAGTTGTGATTCAGAGGATGGGTGACGCCAGTTGTAATAAATATAATAGTAATCTAAGAGCACCTGTATGAAGGAGATCGGTGATATGAAACCAGAGCACTGTACTCGGAGTGCTTGCACCATACCGCTTCTACTGACAATCACAAGCTCATCTGTCATCGCTGTTTTGATGTAGAATCCACCATGGCCTGTTAACCCCGCTTCATAATGAATTGAAACGGATGAGAATATATTATGCCAATTACTTCAGTTAATTTAACCTTTGTTTGGATTTAGAAGGGAATTAGCAGAGTTGTGTTTGTAGGTTAGTGGTTATTCTTTGATGCGAGTAATCTTAATAAGGATACATTGTAACAGTGAACTCCTCGTTAACAAAACATTCTGTTTGTGTGTACAGGAGAAATCGTTCTTGGACTTCGCCATATTTACGGACTACAAGAAGACGGGGAGGTGCAATTTGGCCTTAGCGAAACAGACCTTCTTCCCCGCCGCCTTCGGTTGGATCTTTCAGTCGGGAGACCCTCTCAGGACTATCTTCAACAAGGAGTGAGTAACACGCACACACTACTACTACTTTTTTTTTTAACGTGGCCTCCAGCCTCCCCCAATAGCCACACCTTCGCCGCCATTTTATTACCTTAAATTAAATATCCTAATACATAAGTAGCTATCCTATCTGTGTTGAATTAGTTGAGCCGCAGATCTATGCGGCATTCAGTGACTGTAGCCTCATGGTCAATATCTGCAGCAGTTGTCGGCATTGGGGCAGAAGCTCTCGTTCCCCTGAGGCAGAGCAAAGCCGACCGAAGGAGAGAGAAAGACAGTCGACATCTCATCCAGGCTGTAACATAACTTCTGGATGCTGCTTCTGTTCGAAGATCACCTCCGCGAGTCTGGCGTAGAAGCATCTTGCGCTTGGTCCCATCCCACCAGAGGTTGTGAACACTAGAGGAGTGAAGCTGCCTTGATCAACGTTTTGAATTCTCTCCCCATATGCCCTTCTCTTGTCGTTCTCGTTCCTCCTGTGTGCAGCATCGAGAGCTAGGTTACGGTGACATGTGGCCATGGGATCGAAAATCCTGATGTCGAAGAAAGCTTGCTGTCCCCGCGTCCAGAATCCTCGAGCACTGACGTCAACATGGGCTTCGTTAGATGTGTTTGAAGTCCTATGTTGGAAGATCTCACCTTCAAATGGAAGGAGGGTCGGTGGTTGGTAGGCGGCAGTAGGTGTCCATATGCCAGTGAGCCTATGTGCCGTCCCTCTGGGACCCACTGCTACTTAGAGATTTCCTGCTGATCTAGCCTGGGCTCACGAGGCACCCAGTTACCGTGTGTTGCCACGTGGAGGCACAGCAGGAGTGATAATGGTGAGGAGGCTGTGTACGGGCAGAGAAAGACTTACACACGCACGCGGCTCGGTGTGATTTACCCAATACTCTAGGGTAAAAGTAATGTCACGCTTTGAGAATATGCTATTTGTGCAACCCCTTTTTATCATCATTTACAATATAGAACGAATTAATATACATGACATGAAATTTCTAATCCTACGTGACATAAGTTTGTCGTCTCTTTGAAGCTTCTATGTGATGGTCACCCTTTGGATCATCTCTTGCATGTTGACAAACATTTCCTTGAAGTTTGTGTCGCCACCAGCCAGTGTGTCTCCTGGAAATAACATTTACAACACTCTCTAGATATTTGTCACACCAGATTGTGTTGAAATAGTTGAGATGTTTTAGTAGTTTCAAACTATTTTATGCTTAATATTTACGAGGTTTTGATACTATTGAAGTCATGGCTATAACAACTCTTGGTTTGATTAAACAAACACACAGTACACTTTTTTACCAACATCCCAGGTTTACGAGTGTCACATAATTGTGACAGACGGTTGCAGGACGACAGTGCCGTGGCCAAACCTAACACGGGTCTTAAACAAACAATTCGTGAGAATCTGGCCGCCACTCTACATCTTAGTAATAAGAAGCTTTTGTGCTTGAACAAAGAAAAAAAATCAGGCATGGTAGTAAAGATTTATACCAAAACAAGTTGGGAATATATGTCTAGTTAGTGTGTTATGGTACCCACACACAGTGGAGGTTAATAGACACACAGGTCGTCTCGTTTGGGATACTGACAACTACCAACCCTGAGAAGATTGTGGTTTTCCTTGTGATCATCCACGTTCAGACTTAATATTCTTAGCCTCATCTCTCTTAGTAAGATTAACTTTTAAATCGAGCGTTGATTTAAAAAATAATAATTCTTAATGTTACATCATCTCTCTAGTCTTACTCTAGTTTCACTATAAGCTTTTATAAGTGCTGGTTAATTAAAAAAAATTCGCCGTCCACGGATTGAATGAGAGATGTAGAATAAGAGCACCACAGCCTTGACAACCCAATCATTTGGCCTGAATCCAAGACCCAACAGCACCAACTACAGGTGTTGGTGGTGTGCTTAGGCCAGGTTCAGATGTGTTAAGGCCTGTGGTGTGGGATCTGCCTTATCTTCTCGGGACCATACTAAGTAATCTAACCTTCTGTGGACCACTCGACTAAGTATATATGATAACCCATGAAGCACGTAACTAAGTACCTGATCATCTAAGAACCAAATAACCACTTGAATTTCTTGGGATCTTAACACCAAGTACTTGAGCGTGTAAGAGACCTTGATGTACTCGTCAGATATATAACCATGCAACCCCTCTAGGGATCTCTGCTGCAAGACTTCATGCCTGTTGCTCTCCTTCAGGTTCTTACTCATGGAGGAGGCGGGCATCTTCGACAATTGGAAGAAAAAGTTTTGGCCAAAGAACGAAAATTGCTGGAGCCTTCGAGATTCAATAGAGTACACACAGGTGAGCGAGTCTTACTGTGGGCTTCAGGGTGACACACTTTGCAGGTTTGTATTGACAGTGTCCATTGATTAGAAGGATAACCCTTAAGTTAGCTTTAGATGGTTCCGCTTAAGAGAATTGTGATAAAAATTCTACTGCATAAAAAACTGAATGATAGAAAATAATATCGGTAATGCATAAGGAATATTGATGGCATATTTTACATCTTTAAATTGATAATGAGAGAGAGAGTATGTATATGTAGTGATAATGATATCACATGTAAACCCCGAGGAGAAGGAAACTGGACACACCTACCAGAAAAAAAAAGACGTTGATATTTTTTTCATGAAAGCCCCGAGGCACCATTCCTTGTTTTACCCGTGTTCTTGGTTTACTAGTTAAAACTCTCTCTCTCTCTCTCTCTCTCTATCTCTCTCTCTCTCTCTCTCTCTGTTCACTTGTTATGAAAAACAAAAACACTTAGGTTAAATGCCATTGATATGAAATACAAATGATGGTAAATATTGACGACGATACAAAGAAATGAAGGTACATGAGTAACAGCTCATTGTGATTGTTTTTGACACTAGAATTATTGACTGTTCTAACCTGGCCGATCAAACGGGTTGGGGCCCAGTCTTAGGGGTCCAGCCCCATTGGGCCCCCTAACCAAAACGATAAGGTGAGATTAGTTTAGATTAGGGTTTATTACAACTAACACTCAGGACTTTCAACTTCCTTTTTACAATTTTTTCGTCCCTGATCAGCCGCTTGACATCGAGGACCTGAGGGGCCCGCTAGCCATCCTCTCCACGGGCTTCCTTCTGGCAGTGCTCTTTGTTATACTCGAGTGCTTTGGAAAAAACAGCTGGAAGGTGAGGCTCTGATAGTCGTAAAGATACGTCAGTACTTTCAATTTGTAGAGTTTTAGCATTTTTTGGCCAATTATTTTTATTATTATGAAGGCTTGCATATCTTTTCCCCGAGTCGTGACAATAACATACTCCCGTAGCCGTTGGACATCCATTCATTTTAGGTGGTATGATAGTTGCGTTTGCCTAGTTGTTTCTTTTTCACAACTCGGACATGAGATTACCACCTGGTTCACCCATCATCAAATATCAGCACCACGTCTACACCGACCAGTCACTCGACACTACATTCTTTGATCACACACACACACACACACACACACACACACACACACACACACACACACACACACACACACACCCACACACACACACACCTTCCTTCACTACCTCTCCCACCCCATACTTTTACCTTGTCAGTCAGTCACTCCTGTCCCACCATTTACCTCTTATGGGGTGATGCTGGTAAGGGAACACCATAGTATAATATATCATTCTGGTATTGTACAACTGTATGGGTAAGTGGATGATAAAGAATGATAAGAGACTATGTATGGCCTCTTTGTATGGCCATTCTGTATAATAGTGGGTAAAGCCCTAAGAGAGTGGAGAATAATATGCTGCACAGACCCATTTTTCATTTGCAAGAGTTGATTATGGCATTCATAAGTTTCTTTTATAATTTGATGTTGTTAAGACTCTGGGACCTTGAATTTAAGCCAATTTTTTTTTTTTCATTGGCATTCTTAGATATATTCCATGGTCAGATGAACCGTATGGGGGAAGGGGGGAACTACTGTGTGGTTCATCCTACGGTATCCAGTGTATCGAAAAGGAGGAACACACTAACAACCGTCTGAAATACTTAGCAGTTGTAATGGAATTTGCAAATCCTTAGCTAAGCTCCTTAAAGCTGGCGGTATGAATGTGGGGATTTGGACCAGGTATCAGTCACTGAGAGGAGAAAATTGTGATGGAGTCCTTACTAAAAAAACGTTTACTGTGAATGATTGGTAGAAGTGAGTGAGGGGAACAGACTGAGGCGAGTAGAAACCGAGGGAGGAATATCATGAAAAGTGAAGAATTAGGACACAACAGGACGGCACAAAGGAAAGCGGCGTGTGCCACCACAATTGGGAGCTGTGGTGACAGTGCTGCTGTCAGCTGTCGAATGTATGCTGCCTTACACACACAAACACTTGGCCTTCAGTAATGTTACAAAGGAGAAAAGCAGGTTTACAAACATTTTAGTGCTTATAGTGGATAGTAACTTTCACTTTAGCCTCTAGGATCCCTCTGTTGATACAGGAGGCGACAATTTTCATGACTTACCATTGAAAAACATAAACTTTAGTTTCTCTGATTTACGTGTCTGGTCAGAAACCACAGACAAAGTGAAAAATATGTGAAGGAGTTATACTATACACTTTCCAATAGAATATACCAGTATAACACAAGAGTTTTCATGAATCAATTGTATATACATGTATAACAATTTATAAATGATTAATTCTCACCTCCCGTGTCATCAGAGGTATGCAGAATGTTCTTTATGAAACGTGAATAAAATACTGTACAGCTGCTGCTCCAGTGCTTTGAAGGAATAAACTCTGTTGGTGCAAGATTAAAACACAGAAAAAATAAAAGAGAGAAAGAGGGAGCGAGTGAACCGAGGGGGGAGGGGCTCAGTGAGCAGTTCAACAGGTGGAGACGAGAAATCAATGTGCAGGTGGTAGAGGGAGGCAGCAGGTAATCGCAGGTAGAAGGGAGACAGGCATTAATTACAGGTGTTAGGGGGAATCTGGAAATAATTACAGGTGGTAGATGGAGTCCGGTATTAATTACAAGTAGGAAAGATGTAATTTATTAATTAATTTTGAGTTTTGGAAAGAACCTGAATTTTTTGTTAATGACTGATTCAATTAGTTTTCCAGGTGTTAAAAAGTGAAATATCTCTGCAGGTGTTAAAGAGAGAATTAATTATTGGGCAGGTGTTAGATAAGATTATTACTTGGAGGCAAATGAGAGAAAGGGTGGGTTCTAGGTGTAGGTGTGAGAGAAAGGGTGGGTTCTAGGTGTAGGTGTGAGAGAAAGCGTGGGTTCTTGGTGTAGGTGTTGGAGAAAGCGTGGGTTCTTGGTGTAGGTGTTAGAGAAAGGGTGGGTTCTTGGTGTAGGTGTTAGAGAAAGGGTGGGTTCTTGGTGTAGGTGTTAGAGAAAGCGTGGGTTCTTGGTGTAGGTGTTGGAGAAAGGGTGGGTTCTTGGTGTAGGTGTTAGAGAAAGAGAGAATCATTATTCAGATGTTACAGAAAGTGCATTGTTGTTTTGCAGGTTTTGGAGGAACATCTGGACTCCCTTTCTTTACCCTAGTGGAAGAGTTTAATGGCAGGCCCTAAAAAAATAAGCTTTTGACTTTGTAGATGTGAATTGGATCTGATAAAGGCTGTGTGGTCCATTCTGGCCATGTAGTTAGAAGAAATGTTTCAAATCCAACTGAGGTGTATTTCATGTTTTAAAATTTTTATACTTTTTGACATACATTTTAATGCCTCCCAGTTAGATGCAGTTTTTGCTCCACCTTGCTTCAGTTGGATGAAAAACTGTATATTATGATACGAGTTATATTGTATTGTCAATCAACGTGATTATCGCCACAAGAAGAAACCTCAGGTGTCACTTCATTTGCTTATTTGACCATGTTAAAGCCGCTGGCACCCATCCATGGCTATGTTGATCTCACCCTGTAACATGTTAGTCTGTATGTCTGTAGTAGTCGGTTGTTATTGTAGTAATGTACAGCCGGACACAGGAATAATTATACATACTGCAGCTGTAAGGTCTGAAAATGGTCTGGTAACGTTGAAACTCTGCATCAAAACGCATGATAAAACTCAGCTTCCCTCCACCTGTTATCTCTAACTATTTTCTGTTCCTTTTCTTTATTTTTCTATTTACTCCTCTCTCTTCCTTTACTAATCCAAACATCAGTAAAAACAAGTAGGGTAAGAGAAAAAGTGGGGGAGGAGGAGGAGGGAGCTGGACGATAACTGCAATCCCATTCAGCAACAAGTTTACTACCATTGGCTACAATATATTACTTGTAATATAAACACAAGACACTAGTAAAACATTCACAACAAATGTATTTATAACATATATGTAGGAATAAAACATAAATTACAGGTCATTTTGTAATTTTGTCTGTTCCGTCCAGGACAGTGTTACCAGATATTGTGTCTCGAAACACGAACCGTAGGTGTATACTTATTCTTGTGGCCGACTGTACCTTAACACCTTGTAACCACTATAACTACACCAGACCACATGATATTGGGATATATTTACGAAGTCTGTTATAGGCTATGTGATGATTTAAAGCGTTGTAAGATGCTGTCTGGTGTTACAGTGTCTGAGTCAAGCTCCGAGGTGGGCAGTGAGCACCTATGATGGGTTTTCTTGGTCCATTAGCCGTGGGTGGGTGGGTCAGTAGGTCAGTTCATTGTGCCCTTCTAAATAATACAGCACTTTACCGGAAAGGAGTATTTTGGTTTTCTTTATTTTTTTTTTTAAGCCATATTGACTTTGTAAATTCCAAGAAACTTTCATCATTCTCGGGAGGTGTAGATAGTGAGTTCATTGTTTCAAAGTGACACAGTGAATTCTTGTATCTAATGACTCGGTGAGGGTTAAAAAAAACAGTCAGAATATATTTTTTGTGAATGACTATGGATTATTTTATGAATGTACTGTAAAATTTAGCTTTACCAGAAAAAAATCCGAAGTGGATATTGTGTCCTGTAATTCGTGTTAGTTATAGCGGGGCGGACAAGAACCAGAGAAAAACCCTCAGGATAAAATGTCTCGTAATTTCCCTACGACCTGGGAGAGATTTTGTAATGACCTCAGAGTTGAAGTATTGATCATAAAGTTGTTTACACAATACCTGGGTCGAGACAATCTGGGGCTTTGTTCAGGGAAACCTTTCTTTTCCATTCTTGTAAGTCTTCTGTTGTATGATGTTCGGCTGAAGGAGTATAATCTTTATAAAACAGACTCAACAGAGAGAGACAACTAAAATTAATACTTAGATCTTCTGAAACCGCAAAACACCGTAAACCGCCTCATCTGGATGTTTAGTTATTATATTACCATGGTATAATGTAGAGCATGTAATGTTCTTATTATGCATAACACCATTCAGTTGCCTCCTTTCTTTTCATTCTTTCAGGTTAAGTTCACAGCGGCTCACTTCCTTACCCGTAGCCTTGTCTAGTTGAAAAAGTAATCCTTTGATAGCAGTTGCACGAAGTCCCATACAAATAACATAATATTTATTTATAAGCATTTAGTTATGCTGTACGGTACTGTAGTTGAGTAACGATTAATCATTTTATATTTTAACAGGAAAAAGTTTTCGGAGGAAAAAGTGTATCCCAGACTAAAAGAAAAGAGAAGATGATTAAGTTGGAGCTAGAGTTGAGGACGAAGGGTTTACCTAGTGTGGAGGTGAAGAGTATGTCAGGAGGGGACGACAACACAACCGAAGACTGATGGATGTAGTACCCCTCAGCTCCACGATGAAGGTACGCCTGCTGCTGCTTCTGTAGTTCTTATAAGATCTTTATTATCGTGTGTGTAATATCTGTATGAATTAATGTAACATTCAGCATACATGCTTAAAACTATATATATACTTCACCGTTTTTCTCTTTTCCTCAGCAAGCAGCTGGATTTACCATGCAGAAACTTCATGTTATGCTAGAGAGAGAACAGAGAGACCTTATCAACAGTCTGCAGCTCGAGGAAATGAAGAAGCACGGACTGATAAATTCTGCAAGAACTAAAACTCACCCGTGAAAGTATAAGCTCTGATGTACAGTATATGATGCTTAAGGGCTGTACCAGGCCACCGGGACAGCAAACATTAAGACCAGCCAGTTGTTTACTATACTGGCAGCTGTACAAGTTGAGGGCCGCAGATATCATGGCTAACCAAGTGTATGAAATACTAAGAGGCTGTGTAAAGAAAAAATATGCCAGACATTGAGTTAACCAGTTGTGTACAATATTGGAAGCTAGACAAAAGCGCCAGGCTTCTGGTAGACATTACTAAAACCAGTTGATTGAGAAAAATTCAGTGGCTGTCAGACTGCTGGTGGTGGTACACTGACGAGTATGTCGGCCTGAACAATAATCGACTCCTCAAATACCGTGGTCAGTGAAGCTGTTTAGAGAGGTAGGAACACCAGGACAAATCTCGGCAAAAGAGACGAATCTTGCTAGTATTATTTCGTAGTGTTCTGTAAAATGACCGGTCAACTTGCCCCCAGTCCTGAAGTATCAAGCCTAACGTTCAGTAAGGATTGGGACAGTCGTAATGAGTGTGATAATGGCTTGATTGAGATATACTTGGACTGGGACCTGTTGTAATGCTGGGATAAACTAACGTATGTAGTTAAATATACCTAAGTACTGTAGTCTGTAGTTGTAACACCACATTCTACAAAGGTGTGTTTATTAAAAAGTAGTTACAGCAATGTAGTAATAGATTTTTTACTAATATCAAACCTCGAGGTGCAGTTGAAAGCTTTAATGAACCCATATGGATATAGATTCCCCCAATTCATTATTTTCTATTTTATGAATTGCACAACATAATTTAGAGTTAAATACCCCCCTGTAGTTGAATTGTAGATAACTGGTCAGCATTGTTGAAGCATGTACAATACTCCTAAGTAACTCCTCTGTAGCGGGTGTGTGTACCATCCGGAGATGATAAGAACAAGTAAGTGTTTGTATTAGAATCTTTTTAACACTAGCTGTAGTAGTAGTTGAGTGATTCAACTGACAGTTTGATGATGAGTGTAACCATGTGTTTAAACTAAATATAAATCTATACTCCAAGAAATTCATTATCAGTGTCAGTACATTAAAATTCTCTTACTGTATTTCTCTACAATTGAGGAATATGTAATACCTGTACAATGGTAGCGTTTATGTGACTGAGGGAGCACCATAGTGTGACTCTGTCTACCCAGCAGTAATTGCGAACCTGGATGTTAATCGATTTGCGGATCGTATTCCGGGGTAATGGTTAGTCAGTGCAGTTGGCGAGTTGTCCGTCATCTCGAACTCTTCCTTGACACTGGGTTATGCAGCTCGTTAACTTAGGGTGTGGTTGTTGTGTTGGCGACAGCTTCTACACCTTAAACAAATTCGCGCCTAGGTGGCCCTTGGGCCGGCCATCCTCGTTACACGAGGGCAACCATTATTATTATTATTATTATTATTATTATTATTATTATTATTATTATTATTATTATTATTATTATTATTACTAATTATTTTATTTTATTTTTTTTTTATTTTTATGTATGTTGCCATAGTTATTTCTTCATCAATCTAAAGGTCATAATATATATAGCCCAGGTAATTTTGTTGTTGTTGAGAGCCGAGAGAGTAAAACGCTACGGTACAACTATAGACTTTATTGCCAGAATTAATTATATACAGTAGAGCGGGTCAGCCTCCAGTCGCCTACACCACAAGTACAACCATTAATGAGTGGATAAATAAATGTCTACTTTATTATGAGTTTCGTTAAAAGTAAAAATAAACGATGTCATATATAAATCAGGTCATATAAAGTTTAATTTCGTATAGGAAGAGGGAGGACTCCGTTTTATATACATATATGATATAGAGGTACGATAATGATCACGTTAGAGTTTATATATGATGTTTCTGTAACTTAGAAGAGAGAGAGACTTGTGTTTGTGTTAAAATACATATGTTGTAGTTTGTAACATACAGGATAGAGGCTAGATTGTGTTCATATATTCCACACTCTTACTCCTTATAAGTTAAACCCTATATTCTCGTCAGATTTGATATACTGTACTGTACTTTTATAATTATAAGATACTCTGCATTATGTTCATATGTCAAGTATCAAAACGCTATAACTTAGGCCTTAGAAGATCGATTATATTAATGTTAAGCCTCATATACTCTACACGGTAGAGGATAAATCTCTAGATTATATACACACGATAAAATACACATCCTTTATATAACACAGATTGTACAGTAGCTGGATTATGTTGGTGTCATATTACTGAGGCAGGTACAGGTGTAGTTCTATTAAAAAACACATAAGGTACAACACTCAACAACAAGAGGATCCCCAGGTTGTATACACCATTTCTTGTCAACAGAGGGAACCCAGCCAAGACGTGTTGACGTTGTTTACAAAGTCCCTTGATGTTTGAGTGTTTCTCCACAGCCAAAACATCGCTGTGGACTCCTGTATGTTCATGACGTAAGTATACTCTCTGCCTTGTACAGTACATGACCTAGATTTACTGGAGGACGCTGAAAGAACACCTCTAGTCTTTAAATGTTAGTTAAGTGTCACGGCGGATATGGCGGAGGATACAATTAGGCGCAGAAGTATTATATGTGTGTGTGGCTCCCTGGGTGATGCTGTCAAACACAAATATCAAGGGACTTTTTAAACAGTTGTATACAGTACATATATTCCAGACGTAACAGTTAGGTGAGACACGAGGTCAGTAACGGTTCATTTCTGCCACTCTATGAAGGGATTCGTCTTGGAACTTGTCAGGTCAGGTTAGGTTAGGTTTGCTTTGTATTGCTCGTGTGGTGGTCGAAAAATATTTAATTATAGCTTTGTTCTTGCCTTTGTTTTCTTTTCCTTTTGTTTTCTTTTCCTTTTGTTTTCTCTTCCTTTTGTTTTCTCTTCCTTTTGTTTTCTCTTCCTTTTGTTTTCTCTTCCTTTTGTTTTCTCTTCCTTTTGTTTTCTCTTCCTTTTGTTTTCTTTGCTGTATTGTTCTCAGGCGGCAGGACCGGACTGGGGTGTATTTCAGTGTGACGGCTGCTTAGCGGGGTTAGTTAGTTTACAAGTCATGTGTGTTTAGTAATAATATTTGTATGTATTTGAGATGGGGGGGGGGGGGAGGTAAATTAGTGGGTCGTTGAATTTATTACGACTGTCGAAATAAAGGTGTTTGTTTTATTCCCTGCCAGGAGCATTTTAGTGTGTGTGTGTGTGTGAACTTTGGACCCTTGTTATTGACCCCCGTAATCTAATACCAATTCAGTTTTGTGAATATCTTGCCCCAAGTTGGCCTTCTTACACTCTAGTTCCGACAAGACAAACTTATAGCTAATTTACCTAAGTTTACTAAGACCTGATACTGATACACTGGAGAATAATGAATTTACATGGCTCCCTCGTGTAGCAGCATCTGACTTGTGTGTGGAGAGAGAGGGGGGGAGGTAGTGAAAGAAAGAGTTGGGTGGAGAGAGGGAAAGAGCGGAGGGAAGGGAGGGAGGAGGGAAGGATAGAGAAGGGGGGAAGGATAGAGAGAAGGGAGGGGGAGGGACGAGAGAGAGGTGTAGAAGTAATGGATTCAGGGTGGAGCAGCAGTAAGGGTAGTGGTAATGGTTCATGGTGGAGACTGGTGTAGCAGGAAGAGGGAGGCGGCCAGCAGGAGGGGGAGGACGCTGGGGTGCCTGCTGGTCGCTGCACACGTCCTTATCGTCACGTTACGACACTTCTCCTCTTGCACATCATTATACGACAGCGTGGCCGTCACCTTCTTAACGAACAGGGCGGCGTGCTTCTCACAGCGGAAGTAACTCACGCTGTACACGCATGATAGCAGCCCCTCCCGGAAGCTGTGGACCAGAGAGAGAGGGTACAAGAGTTATTACAGCACCACAACACCTAGTCGCACCTTTTCCGAGAGAAATCCATGTTGCTATATGTTATTGAGTCGATTATGAATACTGTGGGGGAGAAAGAACTGTTATTCTATAGTGACAATATTTTGGCTGTGGGGGAGTAAGTAGGAAGGCGTTATTGTTGCAGTGATGTTGAGAAGTGTGTACGTGTGGTGTACAAATTAACAACACCCGCTAAGACAGATATTCCTCTACGAAGACTAAACAATTATTGCGGGTGGTATTGGTGAGGTAGAATGACCTACCAGCAGATGTTGTGGTCCCTGGCAGCCTGGGAGATGTTGGCGTGTTTATGTTGGAGACGGACTAGGCTCTTGAAGTGGTTGAGGCATCTCTCCCAGTCATCGCTCACATCCCGCAGACATGCCCCGTGGGACAGGTACTCTGGGGTGAGGGAAGGGTTAGTTCTCTTGGCAGCAGTTGTCATATGTTTACACTCTTGTCTTGCATTACTCTATGGAACATCACTGCCAAATATCAGTTACATTTGGGATCGAAGAGATATTACTTAATATATCATCACCGAACTTGGTAAATAGGCAGTCGTGCTTAATTTATACGTAAAACTTGTTTTCAGGACCAAGAGGTAAGAAGTCAAGATGTTAATGGCAGTACACTCTGAGCGTCATCTCGGTCAGTCTTCGGTAAGTTGGTTATTATCAATTTTACCATCTGCGTGTTTATCACTGGCGACATAAATGTCTTAAACTGTCAGAGATTATAAATATAATTCAATATTTAAAGGAATTCATATTTCTCATTTAAAATAAATTACCAAGAACGTAAAATTACAGCATCAAGATGATAATATAGTTTATAAGATTTTATGCAGATTTAGTGGACTTTCGTTACTCTAATTATTTTAGTTATCTATAACACAACACGTGTGAGTGGGTTAATTAGTTCTCTGTACTTTGAAAAGAAGGAAGCCGGGAGCTCTCTTGAACACGTTGATAACCTGCAGCAGCGAGACAATTAGTTTCCTTCACTTCTTAAAACAAGATGATTTTATCCATCACTCACCTGGACAAACAACATAATCAGGTACCTCTCACCTCTCACCTGGACAAACAAGATAATTAGGTCTCCTCTGTCACCTCGGCAAAGAAACTGGACAGCTCATTTAGCTCGAGAGAAAACCAGGAACTGTTCACATGTTGAAGCTGACCTTTGCGGAAAATGGGGTCGTCACAGAGGAAGGCGAGAAAGGACCTGGCTCCTCGTAGGTTCTGATCCAGTTCCGTCCTCTCCGTCGTGGTGAGGCAGCTCGATGTGTAGTGGTCCACGCACCTCATCCCGCCCTTAAACGCCCTACAAGATGGGAGAGAGAGAGAGAGAGAGAGAGATTTTTTATTCAGCAAGGATCAGCGGACGAGTTAATTAAGAGTGTATGCGGTTGTGTCAAGTGCCCACCCAGGATTGTGTCAAGTCCCCACCCAGGATTGTGTCAAGTCCCCACCCTGGATTGTGTCAAGTCCCCACCCTGGATTGTGTCAAGTCCCCACCCAGGATTGTGTCAAGTCCCCACCCAGGATTGTGTCAAGTCCCCACCCAGGATTGTGTCAAGTCCCCACCCAGGATTGTGTCAAGTCCCCACCCTGGATTGTGTCAAGTCCCCACCCAGGATTGTGTCAAGTCCCCACCCAGGATTGTGTCAAGACCCCACCCAGGATTGTGTCAAGTCCCCACCCAGGATTGTGTCAAGTCCCCACCCAGGATTGTGTCAAGCCCCCACCCAGGATTGTGTCAAGCCCCCACCCAGGATTGTGTCGAGTCCCCACCCTGGAATGAAGAAAATAGTTGGTTTGTACACGTGTATGAAAATAGCCTTTGTATACTTGTGTACGTAAGAGTTAAGTTGCGTTTGTGGACTTGTTTACATATGAAAGTTTCTTGTGTGTACTTGTGCGGGTTAAGAAAGATAGCGTGTGTGTACTTGTGTAGGTATAGAAGCCTAACTTTTGTGTAAGAAGAGAGGGAGGAGTAGGAGGCAGTATGTGTGGGATGAAGGGGTATTGTGTGGGAGAAGAGGAGACAGCGGCAGTGTGTTTGTAGAAGGAGGAGCGACGGGTTTTGTGGAAGATAAAGGAAGAAAGATTGTTCGAGGAGAGAGGTGGAGGGCGAGATAGTTAGGGGGTGTGTGTGAGTGAGAGCAGCAAAGATGATGGGTCGATGGAGTTCGGAGAAACGATATTTATTTGTTGAGACAGCTGGAATCATTATCCTCAGTGATAGTTTCCATCAAAGGCTTTTGTGAGTGACAACTTTGATTTCCTTGAATAAAATAATACGTGGATGGATGAAACTATTATGTTCTTATTTAATTAATTTTTAATATCAATTAGTTATTTCAAAGGTCTTTTTTCGGTCTTCATACAAGTTCATTAGTATTTAACTTACTTCTATTTTGTCTTGTTATTCCGTTCTTTTTTTGCCGTATATGTTTTGTTGTGTCGTTTTTTCCGTTGGTACACATGACTAGATTTGAGATAGGTGCACATGGTGTCGCTTGGTGTAAGGTGCACCTATACGACGTGTAAGTTGGGGCTTTACATGTTGGTGAATTTAGTGTTCGTGTTACTGAGTCAAGTGCACACGTTAATGAGTCATTTGCACTCGTTAATGAGTCAGGTGCACTCGTTAATGATTCAGGTACACACGTTAATGAGTTACCTGCACATGTTAATTAGCTCGGGGAGGGTGTGAGGAAGGCCGACCTTGGGCATTAAGGGAGCCACCTCCGCCAGGCAGGTGTCCAGCTCCGCCTTCTTCGTCTTGCACTTCTCACCACCAGACAGTCCTGCGGAACACAAATGTCATGAGTTATAACTTATAGTGTAGATGAAATATCGTGTGATTATTTATAATTCTGTTACCGACTTCAAGAACTGGTCAGTCACTGTGCTCAGTTCGTGAAATCGGCTCCTAACCTAACCAACTCAACCCAACCTAACCTAAGCTAGGTTAAGAAACTATTTACGGAACTAAACAAAGTTACCTAACCTAGCTCAGTCAAATATAATCTGGGTTTGGACTGCTAGCTTAAGTTAGGTTTAGTTGGGTATGTTTAGGTTAGTTTAGGAGCCTATTTCACGAACTGGGCAAAATAACTGCTCCGTTCATGAAATGGGCAATTTCATGCGTGAGTGCGCGCATATCTTTTCCTGGGTGGATTATATTGTTCCCCTAGTCAGTCCTTCCTCTTCCAGGTTTGTAATGGCTTATGACCCAAGTGGTTGCAGAGTTTCAATCGGCTGGACTTCAAACATGACTTTCCACCTAACCATGTACAGACGCGCAAATGTCCTGGGAATTACGGTTCGATCCACGACAAAGTCACAATTGAAGGTCGAAATTGACAATGTTGGCCGGAACATAATTCTTGTATCGAGGTCAGGTGCTATAAGAAGACTTGAAATTGTAAGAAAAGTCGTAAAATTTAAGCTATTTTATGATTTTTTTGGTGTGTTGCTCTCCCCCAAAGGTTGCCGCTAACGAGCCACCAAGGTACATGTCATTTTACAGAAACTCGTCCTGGCTTCGATTTTTCTTTGTTAGCCGGGAAGAATTATCCTCCTGACAACCAACCACTGGAAAGTTTTACATGAGATTTATCTCTCAGTAAGTCATTCAGGAACGACTGGTGTAGGGCTGACTAGCGAGCCAAAATATGATGTACAGTATTGTTATGTATTAATTTGAAATTCATTGGCTATTGTTGAACTACTAAACGTAAACACCAAGACAAATTATTATAATTTACCCATAAGGACTGCCATTTATGGTTAAACAAACGTTTTTGTGCAACCAACTTTAATATTTCTCATCAACCTTATAGAAGAGAAGTTTTTTTATTAACATTCATCGAATGCGTTTCCCGGAAATTAGAAATTCAAACTATAGTAAGCTAATTAGTTTTCAATTCTTAATTTCCGTAACCGAGTTTCGACGATTCTCGATAATTACAACTTTTCTTCTGCGAACTTTATTTAAAGTTTGGTAAATAGAACTTCACAAGAAAAGGTCAGTTTTATCATTAATTCTGATGTACAAGGTTGAAAAGTTATGTTTTTTTAATCGTTACAAATAAGCGTAGGACATTTTTGAAGTGTTGCCTTGATAGATGTTCAGCTGAACATATACAGCACAGTAACATTCAGCTTACTGGCACACATGTCGGTGTGAACGGTAGCCCCCACCCTAAGGTGACCACAAAATCCCTGAGTAGATTACATTGGTCAAATAAACTACTGAGTTTAATCTTTGTTGTCTTTTCCTGCATATTTAGGAGCAGTAGGGCGGGCGTGATGTTACAAGGCCAACCAAACTTAACGTGTTACCCTGGAGTCTTGGTAGAGTTATGTTTTAGGAGGTTGCTGGACCACTGCTTCTATCGTTGTGTTCCTTTACGAGTGACAGTCACTAATCAACTCCCGCTGCCTCATTTGCAAGTACATGGAATTTGGACGCATTTTGTGTTTGGCATCAGTGTTGGAACTTGCATTATTCAAATTTGTGTGGAGACATTATCAGTCACGGTGGCCTCAAGACTTAAAAGTTCTCTGAGGCCAGAATATGTTTGGTCACATTTTAGGACTGTATTGTGTGTCAACTCTGGCTCATAAAAACATACACCGTGTTTCATCATCAGCCAGGTGGTGACCAGCGATCAAACACTTCTGTAACACAGGCAGTTAAGTCTGCGTCAGTGACGTCACCTGTACATTTACTGCGTCTGTCGTCTAGAACTGTCCGCGGCGGTCCTGCGTAATAATACTAATAATAATAATTAACGGTTTATTAAGATAACATGGCAGGCCGAAGGCTGAAAATATACAATGAACAGAGATGATATGCGTGTGCGTGCGTGCGTGCGAGCAATGTACTTTATACGTCGAAGTTATACTGTATATACTTGTGACACTTGCCAGATGCTTCTGGTGTCATTGTACGGGGGTACCTAGTGACAGCACTAGGATCCCGCTTCCTCTATCAAGGAATAAATTATTGAAATTGTAAATTGAATTGAAGTGTTTATTCTATCCGTCTCTCCGTCTCGTTCGACATTGAGGTGCTCATTTTGTAGATTCGAGTCCCTGGAAAGATTCAGAAACGAGCTTTTGCAGTGAATTCAAAGTTTGTGATGGAAATGACATGCAATTTTGGCAGTACCTGTATTGTGTGCCTGAGTCAGTTTGGCAGTGACCGATTTTGTCAGGAAAGTTGATGAAATTGTGAACAAATACAGGTAGCTATTGATGTAGATATTTGAACTTTTGTGTTTAGTTTCAAACAATACTCACGTTAATATCTGGGATGTGAACTGCATTTAAAGTTTATTGAACCTATTTAATAGCTATATTTTAACACTTACAGGTGGGTGTTAGAATATACTTATTAGTGTGTTTAGACATTTATGTTTCTTCTGTCATTTTTTATTCCCTGTCCGGGCACTGTAAGCCATTTAATTCAGCAAACTGGAGAGTATAAAGGGGTTATATTGTCAGTAAACAGCACACCCGGATCCTCCTTTGTTGTCCAGTTTTTCAAGGTAAAAAGACTTTAATGTCCCCAAGTAAGTCTTTCACGCAATACTTATATAAACACACAGACGCAGTATGATAAGGCTTACTTGTTTTATTAATCAGTTTAGGAAGCAGTAAAACTCTCCCTCTCCCAAACCTGTCACCGTCAGGAGCGATCGATTGATAAGTACGAGTCAGTCACTCTAAAGGTGGCGCTAGAAATGAACGCTGAAACATTTACATATGCAGTCATATAACATCGCAGTATATTCAAATTATAGCAGTAATGTTACTATATGAAATAAACTGAAGATCCCTGAGTGATGTCAAAAAGTTAGAGCAGTGATGTAACTATTCTAAAGGTATCTAAAACACCAGCGTCTTGCAATAAAGTTGAAATGGTGTGTTGGCGTAAGAGAGGATATGAGGGGCGGGTGTATCCTGGGGAGAGTCGACCGGCCGTGGTATATTACAACTATTATTTTCCGTCTCGCTTCATGTTTACCGACGCCTAAAAAAAAATCCATATCTTTATCACAAGCTTAGTCGTGGAGAAGGCCTAAAAGAATGTAAACCAACTCACCTTGATCGAACCTGGGAAATAGATCGCAGTGAAAATAACTCTTACAATTGAAATATGACAAATACAGAACATTGCGCCATATTAATTTAACTCGATCCAAACCAACCTAACCTTACATGAACTAACATTCTTCACTTAATATAAGTTTAGTTAGTGTTAGTTTACGTATCTTAGGTATAATTGTGATAATATAATTTCATTTCCATAACAGAATTTCTTGTTTAAGGATATGAAAGAGTACTGTAATGCTGTACAGGAAGCAGCAGTGAGCAAAGAGTGATTTGAGGGACGCTTCTATAGCTCCAAGGCGTTGATGCTGCGATGTCTAAAAGGTTATGGTGTGATGCTGATAGTGATGATATACTCGGCGGTTTACAATACATACATCGTAAGAAGTCAACATCATTGTCTTCGGGTCATCATTATTGGGGCTCAGTTCGTTTAAACACAATCTAACCTGGCCTGAGGGTCACAATTATTATTAGTATTATTATGTTTGTTGTTTTTGTTGTTGCATTTCACGTTCTGGTACAACTTTCAAAGAATCATTAAGGAGGAAGTTGGCTTGCGTGTAGAGGCAGTGACACCCTCCCTCTTGTCCTTCCCTTCCCGTGTGGTAATATTATGGTAAGTAATTTTAACAGATACTTTCATCATATTCACCAACTCAGGAATTTCTCAAAGAAGAGTACAAACAAACATTAGTAGTACGGCCCGTGACAGAGACGTGTAATAAATCTTAACCAGCTTGACTCTTGAAATATATTGGGGGCCTCTGGTCATGATGTTACTCAAAAATACTCTGATTACATTATTGTTTTTAATTTCCGACTGTTAGGTATTAATATTCATGATCATTCAGCCAGTCAGTTTAACGAAATATATATAGAATTTATAGTGAAAAATAAATTTAATTATCATCGTCCTCCACTGACGGCTGGCAGCGGTGAGGTCATTGTGTGAGAGAGAGAGAGAGAGAGAGAGAGAGAGAGAGAGAGAGAGAGAGAGAGAGAGCACGTCTTCCAAACATGAACGCTGTACCCAACCCTAGAAGGCAAAAGGTCAGTTAATTTGATACTGTATCTTGGTCATATCGTCAGACGTGATGGTGACGTGTTCTGGTCACCCAATTATCAGATGGGAAGAAGAGACTAAGCAATTATCATCAGTGTTAAATTACCCTTGAGTGAGTCATCATGTGCTAGGTAATGTAAAAACAAGACCAAGAGTGAGTCAGTTGATTGGCTTTTGTAATAACTTTGAGATAATGTAAAAATAAATTGTGTGGGTTAACTTTTACATTAAGCTTCATATAGACAACGTAAAGGCGAAGCGAGAGTATTGGTTCACTTTGATTTAGATTAACGAAGGCAAGACATACAAAGAGCGAGTGAGAGGCCTAGTGAAGCGAGGGAGATGTGTTCCTCCATCAGCCCGACACGACGCCCACCTCTGGGATGCTAATCAAGGACCCAGCTCTTGCTATGGGAGACGCATTGCACCTCAGTTAACACGCCCTGGAGAGGCGTCGTCGACCTATACCTCGCGGGTACTCACCTTAATTTAATTTTGATAATATCCAGGATAGTTTCTGGAGTTGACAATAATACAGTATATAGTAAGTATACCCAGTATGGGGAAAAGCGTTATATTTATACAGGTTTTATAATTCCCATTTTGTTGTCAAAACCGAAGTGAAAATTGTAAATAAATACCCTCCTTATAGCACTGGTTAATTCTATAAAAAAAAACTTCCTCTCACTTTTAGCAAAGCTTAATTAGCGCTGTAAATGGATACTTTGTTTGTTGAAAAAATCGTTGCTATCATAAATGAATTTCCACTTTATGACAAAAAACCTTAATTAAACTATGATTATAAACTCGCCTAACTATTCACAATCTTAATTTGGAAGATGCGTCACCTGCTTCAAATTAAAATTTTGATCAACCTGTATGAAATAGTCTGAAATACGACTCTTTCTGGGTGTGTTTTTTACCCACTTTCGATTATAAAGAGTGGAGAGATTAAGCAATCAGTGTGTGTGTGTGTGTGTGTGTGTGTGTGTGTGTGTGTGTGTGTGTGTGTGTGTGTGTGTGTGTGTGTGAAATATTTTATTTATATTAAGTGCCTTGTGTTACTTTTCCTACAGGGTTCAACGCGTTCATATTGTGTGTATGAAGGTAAGAACCCAGGAGAACGTTATCCTTTTGTGTGATGTAGTTTGGTGGCAATCCTCCTCGTTACTTAATTGCTAACTGTTACAGCTCAAACCACATATAACACATAATGTATTACACCGTCAACAATATTTACTTTTGGAATTTACGCTGCACAGTCATAATCACGTTAAGGGCGTTTCTGTAGACTTTTAAGAATTACAGTTCTTGTCACACAGTCAGGTAGAGCAGGTCCCATATGACAGTGATACACCGCCGCACATTAACCTCATCAGTCCAAGGACTTGTCCTCAGTTCGATAACTCGTCAGGCATTATCCAGAAAACTGAAGTGAATTACCGTTATTGCAGAATTTCAATTCGACATGAAAAATTTGGCTGCACTAGCAAGTTCACAAACGCTTTTAAACGATCTGACCCGTGACAAAGCCATATAAAGAAAATCTGATTTTTGTGTGGGACCACTGGTTGTGTAATGTAAACTTCATGCAGGAGTTTTACCATGGAGGTGTAATAGTTTGTGTGTGGTACAACCCGTGAAGGTAACACTTTGTCGGAGACGGTTCATGTGTGAACTGATTGTGTATGGGGCGACCTGTGCACAAAACGCATTATGTGCCAAACTCCCGTGACTCCGTGTAGTGTGTCATGATATAGTAATATATGTGTCTGTAATATTTATAATAATTTAACTTTAGCTCCGTGAGCTCGATGACTTAACTCTTGAGTAATCTGAGTATTGTATTTTAACCCTTTGAGTAAAGTAACCTAGTCCTTAAGTACAGTGACTGAAGGGGATAAAGTCATCGTGGTCAAGGGGATAAAGTCATCGTGGTCAAGGGGATAAAGTCATCGTGGTCAAGGGGATAAAGTCATCGTGGTCAAGGGGATAAAGTCATCACGGTAAGGGGATAAAGTCATCGTGGTCAAGGGGATAAAGTCATCGTGGTCAAGGGGATAAAGTCATCACGGTAAGGGGATAAAGTCATCGTGTTAAGCCCGACACTAGTCACGAGAAGAGACAAGTTTAGGTATAATTAGTTGAAGATTAATCAGTTATTTTGTCTTATTCTTCATAATAATACTGATAATGAGAGGGTATTTCTCTACACCTCCCTTACTTCGTGGCCACAGAATTGAAACTCCTCTTGATACATATTGTTAGGGTGCTGAGACTCTCTCCCTGTATAAAATCTTCTGAAAGTTAAAACAAAAAAGTCCTTTAACATATGACGAATAAAGCCACTTGAACACACCGATTGAAAATACTCTAGAGGGGGAAAAGAGCGAGTGGTTGTACAGTATAGATAAAAGAAGTCTTGTGGCCTGGATGGCAACTAAGCTGCTTTATCTGTGCGAGGGAGTTGGAGATTAACGAGGCCGGACATTGTTAAATACTGTAACTGTCGAGGCTAAGAGAGTTATCTTTATTAATGAGTTACAGTGTCTATATTTTATGGGGTAGAGCACTGTAGAAGGTAGGTAAGAACTGGTCTTTGATGTCGACGGCCAGCAACCTAAAAATCTATAAGAAATGGGTAAAAATGCCAAGCTCCGCAGGCAATCTTGTATTTTTATCGATATTTAGTTAGTACTTCACCTTTCCTGGTTTGGCTTAGCTTGACGCACTCAGTGATCAGTTGCTGGTGAACCTTGATTGCTTCATAACCGCGGGCATATTGGTGGGGCGGGTGGGGGGGGGAAACGCTGTAATGTGGACAGAGTGGATTTTTGGCAAGAGGGATATTGTGTTGATACTGGTTGAGAGAAGCGTAGTGGCCTGGAAATTGAGTTGATGACACCAAATTGACTGGGGGTCGTGTTGGTACATTCACACAGGTCTTTGATGAAACTGGAGGTGTTTTAAGCACGTCTTACTTTAATTAACAACTTTTGTACACTGTGAACGTTAGCGTATATGTGCATGTGCGTTTTAGACACGTACATCAGTGATTCTTCCGTACGTCATTGCAGGATTCATTGATAATACTTTTCTACTTGTTATTTTATACTAATAGTTTAATCAAGTTTACTTATTTTCCAGTGATGAACACTTCCATGCACGCGTTACCCGTGAGAAAACACAAGCAGTAAAGATTTTGTTTATTTATTTGTATTTAGAATTAGAGGTTAATCATGGGTGGGTGATGTGAGCTGAAGTAAATGTTTGTTCGTTTTTGTGTGTATCAACAAAAAGAAAAATGTTGAACTAATTTTGATCATGTAGTTTAGTGAGACGGAACATTTAATACATGATTATGGTGTAAGTTATGCAGAGATTGTGTGATACACTAAAAGGATTTCTCGGTAACATAACTAGTAGTTCGACATCCAAGAGTTGCCCTGAGCATTATTAGTGTGTGACTGGTCATTGGGACTCGATCGTAATTGGTCTGATCCTACCCATCAGGCACAGCCCTAGTAAGTCTTAAGAGTGGTCCTACCTCGCCTGATCTTAACCTAAACATTATGGTCGGGGCTCAGTAAAGTTGGCTTGGAGCCCTGCAGCCATTAGCCCATCAGCACTAGAGCGTTTTATGTTGTCCAACTCGCCGTCATAAGGATCAATGCCCTCATATATTCTACACGTGTAACACCGTCTCTCGCGATTTACTAGCCCTAAATACACCGCGCGTGTGTGAATAATGTTAGTTCAGGGCTCATTGAAGATAGTCCACACGTCACACTAACGCCAGTTTGCTTGTTGATTTTGAACCCTAATTGGTTCTTTCTAAGGAATCTTATTTAAATTGAATATTACTATGAATTTCTTGCCATGTTACATATATGTTTTTTGCCTTAAGTCAGCCGGATAGATGCGACCTTCTAGCTCTAGTTAAGAGGGAAATTAATTCTACTGTGTATACGACCCGGGGCTGTATTAGGCTATGAGATGGTGTATCAGGTCAACCTAATATGATGCTTCTCTGTTGTACTTCGTTGAATTAAACACTGTATGTTTGTTTGTTAGGTTTTCCTCGTGTGGAGCATAACTTGCATCAGTGCAGATATTTTGTTGGGACTCGGCAGGAATACTTGTTACCACAAGACTTGTACAACACCAAATTCAAGTCACTAATCCTGGCACACTGACGACGGACCTCTCTGGTTAAACATGTACGGGAAGGTGGGAGTGTTGCGGCACCTGACAAATTCCCGTTTAGGTTTTACTCTCAAAATATTAGCCTGTCCACCGGGAAAGTGTCAGGCACATGGACATGAAAAATCACTTGCCCGGCCCCTATACCGGGCACGGCCGGGCACTACAACTCTGAACAGCTGCCTTGGGTGTACTAGTTTCCTACCAAGGTGGTGGAGTAACCCACTAGTGACTAGCTGCTGAATGTTAAGCGTTAGGTCAGCACCTGCCTTACACTATAACAGGAATATATATATATATATATATATATATATATATATATATATATATATATATATATATATATATATATATATATATATATATATATATATATATATATATATATATATATATATATATATAAACCTCAGCTATCTTCTTATTTCCGAGTATAACCCAACATGATTTTACATTTTGTTACTTTAATTTCCTAATTAATCATCTAAGATTCCTTTGAAAATTTCGATAGTACAGATGATGACCCACACGAACAGGTTAATATACTGTACTGTGTGTTGTGAGCAGACCCACACACGTACGATTCAGTATACAGTATAATTAATTACCCACTTACCAAAGACTGATAAAAGAAGCGAGGTACAGATAATAGTATGCATTATTATCGTGTGTTATACCAAGGCGGGACACGGGTCATAGTTCTTATACAGCTCACACTAGAAGCTGTCTGAGGGCAGCGTCGACAGACATGTCATTTCACTGTCGTCAACTACAAGTTAATGTACAAATTTCTTAAAAGTTTGGTGACTGTATTCTTGGCCTTGTCAGCAGTGCCCGTGATCACTTGTGTTAATTTTTACAGTGTTCGAAGGGATGAGGATTTTCCATGGTGGAACAGAGTAAGTTCTGTGTAGGGAAGTGGCGGGTGAGGGAGCGCCAGGTTTCACTACCTCTCGATACGGCCGTCGAAGAGAAACTGAGATACTGCTGCTGGGAGCCTGGGATGCTTACTACAGCAGCCGCTCTTTAAACTCTTGAGCTCTCCTCTTCTCTCTTTTTTCCCAAAATATTTTTCTTCTCAACAGTTTATTGCTGAAGAGATGTTTTTATTCCGGTGTTCTCATCTTCTGTGTACACCACTTTGAAGGTGTAATAATTCTAATGGTTTCTTTTTATATACCAATGAATTCAGAGTTATTATTATTATTATTTTTATTATTATTATTATTATTATTATTATTATTATTATCATTATCATTATTATTATTAGTAGTAGTAGTAGTATTATATACGTGTTGTTATTAGACGTGAACACTCCCCCAAGATTAATTATATTATTTTTACCAGGATACTATTCCTGTATTGCTGTAAAAGTTATGAATTTGTGTGAATTCCATTATATTCACAGTTGCTAAATAGCTCTGGGGTTCTGTATTGCAATTCTGTAATTAGTTTCTATAGAGATGGTGGTATTTGTTAGATTAGCAGTAGGTGTGGCTAGATTAACTTAGGTTATTGCGGGGATTGGTTAGGTTAGGTTAGATTAGGTTCGGTTAGGTTAGGTTAGGTTACGATTTTGGTTTAAGCGGGTCAGTGTGTATATTTGGGTGCCTCACTTTTATAGGGAACCATTTTTTTTATGGTGGAAATACCTCTTGGTCGTTCGCATTTATTTTTTTGGGAGGAGGGTATACACACACACACACACACACACACACACACACACACACACACACACACACCTCTTATATCTTGTAGGACCAGGTCAGGCAGCAGTTCGTTACAGAGTAGATAAGCAAGAGTTTTAACAAGAGTCCTTTTACCACTGGCTTTAATTACTCGTCTGGTCGGTCTCGGTCGGTAATACTCTAGATGGAGGGAAGAGAACCTTATAAGCTCTCAAGATACAAGGGTAGAGTTAGAAGAGGGAAGTACCGGGGGAGATTGAAAGTGGGCGAGCTATCCACAGGTCGGACCTCGCCTGTACTATAGCTGGCTGGCCTCATCTCTCTATAGCCTGGTATGGGGGGAGGGGGGGGGTTAGCTCGGAAAGAAGAAGAAAGATGTAGCTATAGTAAGAGAGGTTATCTAAAAGGGTGTCATATAGGGTCTGGCAACTTTCGTTCCTTCATTGTAGAGGGAAGAACAGTTGCCATTATTTGAATATTTTTACTAATTTCATGAAAATCATACGCTTATTTCAGTGCAATTTATCTGTGCACTTGAGTTCATAACTGTCCTCTGAAGTGTTTCCGTATGAGTGTGTATGTCTTTAAAGGGGGAATAAATATATCATGATAACCTACATTGTATTCACACACAGGTTATAAATAAATAACATACATGATTTACATCAAATATAACCCAAGGCAATCTGTTGTCCTACTCTCATTTTGATATTTTCATAAATTTTCTATTTTCGCTTCTACAATTCTTACTTTTTTTATTTATCCTTATACTACTGTTCAGTTTAAAGAACAGAGATATGCTGGCAAAGAAGGATGAAGCATCAACTCTCTATCTCAGACACAATTGTTTTGAAACAGTCTTTCCCCTCCTTAAGACTGTTGCCTATGTACAGCCTTAAATACGTCTCTCATAATGGTTAATAGTATGTCAGAAGGATCATACAGTTCACCTCTGTTTATTTCTTCTGTTCATGCTTTGGTCAGTGACTTTCTGGCCTAAGTGAGGGCATTTCATGCAAAACCTTCTTACAATATAGCCACCAACATACCTAAGAGCTTCCTCTTCTATGACTAAATCTATTGCTTTACCTGTATTTTTGTCAGGGTTTATTCGCTCTCCTGGGTTTTCATCAAACTCATCACTTAACTCTTTTTCTACTTCATTGCTAATATCCAAGTCTTTGAAACAGTGATTAGTTATATAGAGTTCTACTGCCAGCTCTGTCATTGAAAGGTGTACCTTTATCATTTGTTTGTCTAAGACCAATATTTCTTGACAAGCAGTCAAAATTATCATTAGTCGTGTTAGATTTCTCAGAAATTAGTGAAACGCCACAAAATATTATATTGATTGCCTCAGACAATGGTGTGTACACACAAATGGCCTGGGTCAGACCGGGTTAACTAGTCAAGGACAAGAGACGCAGGCAGGGTGGATCAGCTGACCTCATCACTCCCGCCCACCTAGTACCTCACCTGCGCGCCGTTCGACTTCTACATTGACCTTGACCAGGCGCAACCCCCCCCCCCTCCCGCCAGTCCACGGGGCTAAGGTTGATCTAAGCTAATCTAAGCGAACGATGGTGCCATCTAGCAGTGATTCTCAAACTGAGGTCCGCTGACCCCCAGGGGTCCGCGAAAAGTTTTTGAGAAATAGCGCGTTTAACGTTTGTGAGAGATTTGGCGATTCCAATTCCCAGGATATTTTGGATGCGTCAAGGCCCTATATGCCATATAGGGCCTTGTGTTTAGTTTGGGGGACCATCTAGGTCCTTGTGTTTCTGGAGGGTTACTCGTCTGATTTTACGTGTATTGCCTTACAAATAAGATCATACTGTACAAAAATGGGATGGAAATAATGCTCTGTTACTTCGGGTGCAGATAAAGAGTGCCATTATTATTATCATTATTTATTATTATTATAATTATTATTATCTCTGAGTAACTGGCTCCTGTAGTTGGGTTATTCACATTCCTCATCCTCCAGTCATTTTTTCATATTGTCTATGGTTAATTACATTGTTTGTTGATGGAACATTTACACTATACAGTACTAGTCTAAATAAATAGTATACAAGGGATATTCAGTACAGTACAGTATTACTGTAATTGGCCCCCGACTTGAGAACGCTGGCAAACATCGACAACTTTTGTGGGTCGAGAGAAAACGTATTCAGGTGTGTTCAAAGGGAAGTCTCTTATATTTACACACGAACGGATTTCATTCTATAGAAGTCAGGTGTATTCACACACACACACACACACACACACACACACAGACACACTTGGAGTTTGTCAAATTTTCTCACTTGGTTCCACACCGGTCAGACTGTGAATAAAATTCGGATATAAACACAAACTTGGATTATTGTGATAGGTACACATGTTGCCGGTCCGTGTCATTATACTGTAGGTGGACAGGAAGTACAGTACGTAGATATAAAGCTTCACTATAACTGTCCAGAAAACAGGGATAAATACATCAGGTTCCTTCTACCGTAGCAGCAATAGTTTTATCGTCAGTTTTTTTGTGGAAACTGTCTCACTGAAGTATTATCTGGAACAACCGAGGCACTAAAAGAAAGGTTACAATTACGAGTTGCCGGCGTGTAACCTGAGCTTTTATTAGGTTAGTCAAGACACAAGACGGGTGTTATTATGTCTTCTTCGTCGATAACTCTTGGAATATTTTGACATTTTTCCGAATAATGTTTTGTGACTTCAGCTGTTCTACTTAGGGCGCGTTTACCCCTCCCCCGCCCCCCCTCTCTCTCTCTCTCTCTCTCTCTCTCTCTCTCTCTCTCTCGGTTTTGTTCACATATTTCTCCTGAATCTTTAAGTCTGGTGGATGTCTTATATAAGAACGTGATTTGTGAAAAATATCCGTATATAATATAGTGTTTACAAATTAATGGTGATATTTATATGACCTTAACATTATTTTGTGCTTTCAGGAAACCCCTTTTGGACTGCATCAAGCTTTCCATCTTAGGAACTGGGAACACTCACACCAGCCGCTTCAGAAGGCTGTGTTGCCCTGTTATCGAAAACCCGTTGTTCTTCACTGCTCTGGGTATCGTTTCCTCGCACGTGAGTATTGGCTGTGCTAATTTATCTTCTAATTTCTAGCTTAGGTTCATTGTGTGTGTGGGTCTGTGTGTGTCTCTGTGTGTTGTGTTATAGTTGTGCTCATCCTGTGTGTGTGTCTCTGTGTGTGTGTGTGTCTCTGTGTGTGTCTCTGTGTGTGTGGGTCTGTGTGTGTCTCTGTGTGTGTCTCTGTGTGTGTGTTAGTGTGTGTGTGTGTGTTAGTATGTCTGTACCCCTAACCGCCGCACTCAAAGCGGGTCGAGTGGAAACGACAATAAGAAATATAATGGAAGAAATCTCTTTTTTTTTTTTGCACATTCTATTAGTTTGAATGTTATTTCTTCCTACTTTCTCGTTAATAATTTTTGTAGGACAGAAATACGACGGATGATAATATTCCCTGGTGTGTTAATACTGTATATGCATCTTAGTATCTACTGGTTAAGTTGTTCTCACCGCTAATTGGTTCCAACTTACCCTGAGAGGATACTGTGCCGGATCTAATGGAACTCTATCCTACTGATGAGTTTACGGTCTGCCAGGACTAGTTCCCATATGACCAGGAACTCGGGGCTGTATACAGTAAATGTATTCCAGTAATTCCAGAAAATCTCTCCTCCTCCAACAATGTGTAGTATTTAAGATCAAACACAGCTTGATGTAGGTTTTTTCGCCTTTCAACTGAAGTCTTTATTCTTGAACAAAGGAAAACTGTACTGTATAGAATCGCCTTTTCATCCCAGAAAATGCTATTACACGTTTAATGGTATTCCAAGAGAGTTCTCGCCTCGCTGCAACTTTAAAACGTTTTCTCCATGAAGGACAAGTTGATTAATTCAGGTAATATGTGGATTAGGTTAAATTGTCCCTGCTAAATAATTAACATCTTTAATAAACGTCTAACACTAATCATATGCGCATTTATTTTAACATTTGTAGTTACTGAAGTTGATCCCGTTTGTCATATGATTACCAGTACTGTACGTAAGTCACTGACGACAGTACTGTACGTAAGTCACGGACGCTAGTACTGTACGTAAGTCACGGACGCCAGTACTGTACGTAAGTCACGGACGCCAGTACTGTACGTAAGTCACGGACGCCAGTACTGTACGTAAGTCACGGACGCCAGTACTGTACGTAAGTCACGGACGCATAATGGGCGAGTCATTGTACTCAAGG